CAGCTCCACAAAACTGCCCCCCCCACTTCGGATGCCAGTCACAAGTCCCAGGCCGGCACTTGTACTTCTGATCAACCAACTATAAATTGAGGGTTCCCAACTTTCATGGCTGCCACCTGAGGGACTGGCTCCAAACCACACAGCTCAGCATTCATAAGTCCCCTGGAACCACAGAAAACAAAGAGGAAGTTTTAAATGGGAATAAGCACTTCCCATGACTATTCCCTCCAGGCTCAGCACAGAGGGAAGCAAGCGAAAATGCACAGCTCCCAGCTTCCGTCTGGAATGGGTTTGACAGCACACTTTCCCAGCTGCTGCCCAAGGGTCAGAAATTTAGGAGCTCTGTGTCAAGAACTGGAGCCAGAGACCAAATATGTATTTCTTATTATATCAGAGCTACTTACTTACTACCTGTAACTTTCAAATGTGAAGGGTAACTTGACTTTTGGAGTTTCTTATTGTGACATTTCCACTGATGCCACTCTCTATGGTTCCTTAAAACTGCATTTGAATATAAAATTGTCTTAAAATGAAGGTTTAATTTTTTTTGAAAGTCACATCATATTAAAGTGTTCTGACAAATACAGATTTTGCTATCTCATACTTCCCAACTGAGCAGTCCCACTTACCAAAAGTAGTCCCTCTAAACACCATTAGCTGTTTCTCCTGGCATTTGCTCTTCCTATATTTTTAAATAATATATAACTTTCGAGTCATCGATTTTCTATATCATTTATTGACTTCCTATTATTTCAAATAAGGATTTAAGTTTCTTGCAATACGATCCCCTCTCAATATGGTAACAAGTATTAAATCAATATTCAGTGTTTACATTTTTTTATTCACAGCTGACCTATTTGCTTTATGTTTCCTTTCTGTTTTCCTGGAGTTAGTGTTTTTGTTGATATTTTTTCATTTGCTTAGTTTTCTTTGTACTTATTGCCAATTCTTCTCAAATTCTCCATTAAACTTTCCAGTATAATTTTCTATATCAAGTAATTTATCACTTTCAGTTTTCAGAGACCTCCTTCTCTTTCTCTCTGGACTACCACCCTCTAGGCCTTTCGGACAGCTATCACCTGGCACTTCCCTTTGCTATTGTCCTTAGGATTTCCTTGGCCTTCTTCCTTAGTCGGATTCCCTGATTCCTAGACCTCAGGCCTTCTCTCTCTGGGCTTACTCTCTTGTTTCATAGAGCGCATCCTTCAGCAGTGTTGTCAGGTAAAAATCTGGTGCAATGGCAGAGGGCATGGTGATACAAGCATTGCATATACCTGTGTCTTGAGGCTAATCTAATCTTAACTGGTTGCCTTTTACACCTGGGTTACCTGTCTCCTGACGATACCCCTTCATCATCTTTCTGAGGATTTCCCTAACTTATTTTCAGTATCCCATTTCCTCTTATTTCTTGGCTTACCCCATTATTTTAAGTAAACACATTCTAACAAAGACTGCCTAGGAGGAATTTTTTGAGATTTTGTGTGTTTGAAAATATCTTTAGCCACCCTCGTACTTGATTGATAGTATAGCACTCCATTATAGCCCGCTGCTTTTCCAGCTAGCTGTTCCTGGAGCATGAAAGATACCCTTCTTTAGCTCTTCATTTACAGATGCTGCATGGCTATACTCTCTCACCATAGTCAGGCCTTGCCCAAACACTGTGTACTCAGGGACCACCCTATACATAAAATTGCAAACCCAGCATTCCCAGCCTCTTTCCTGTTTCATTTTACTTCCATAGCACTTCTCACCATCTGGTATACTATATGTTTCCCTTGTCTATTTTGTTTATTTTATGTCTTCCTCTGTTAGATGGTAAGCTCCTTGGGGCCAGAAACTTTTATCTGTTTTGTCCACTGATTTATCATAACACCTGGAACAGTGAGTGCCTGGCACATAGTAAGCTATCAATATCTATTTGTTGAATGAATGAATAAACACTTATGTTCCATCTCTATAATACGCCAAAATAAAAGAAGACAATAACATCCTTGTTATGACAAATAACAATGGATTTCTTTGATATAGAAATAAGAACTTGCTGATCATGGCACTTGAAGATCTAAATGAGATTAGAGAGTCTTTTTAGGTTTTTAAACATAAAGTAGGTGACCACTTGATGTTCATGATTTAGTGTCTGTCAGTATATATGTGACCCTTTCTAGCAGCATTTAAAATAGTCTTTCACCTCTACTTGTCCCTCACATCTTGCTCATCTTCTGCTTGGCCTCCCTCTGGCTTCTAGTGGGGCTCCTGGCTGGCCCCGCTGAGCCTGTCTTTACCTGTTACCAGCTTGTCACACTTTAACTTTGGACTTTAGCTAGACCTGGGTTCCTCTCCTTTGGCTTGGACCATTTCACCTGTGGCCTTTGCTTTTTGACAGGTCTCCTGCCTAGAAAGTGACCAAAATGGGCTTTTACTCTACACCCAGCAGCTGGGCTCCTAACCAGAATCTCCACCATGCATACATACATATAAACATATCTCACACCCTCACAGGAACCCACACACATACGCAAACACGGCAGCTAAAAAGCCACGTTATTTTGAGTCTGTTGACTTTGCATACCTCACAATGAAATAAATGACCTTAGCTTTTATTGTTTTATTGTAGTGTACAAAACTTAATGTTCGAATGACCTGCGCCACTGCCATGTCTAATTCCTACATATGAATCTAATGAAAACTTAATTATTTACAATATATTTATAAGTAGTGGTGAATTTTGGATGACATTTTTATTTCAGAGGAATATGGTCTTAGTAGTTTCAATATCAAGGCAAGAAAGAGTAGGAGTCTTTTAAAATCACATTTAAATAGGGCTGCTAGATTTAGCAAAGAAAAACACAAGACACCCAGTTAACTCTGAATTTCAGATAAACAACAAGTAATTTTTTAGTATAAGTATATTCCAATGAGAATCCTGTATTTTATCTAGCAACCCTCCATTTAAATATCCAACTATTCTTATCAGTGAAATAACTTTGATAGGTTTATTGTGAAGGTGAATGATTAATGTTAAGATGCCACAAAGGGAAAGAGTTAGAACTTCAGCTTTATTGGTTGATGACCTGGCGGACTATTTTAATCTGGCTAAAGTCTATACAGTGGAAAAGGTGTGAATAATGAGATGCTGGCCCAGAAGTAGAACAGACACCTGTCATTGTGTTTCTTCCCAAACCTTGATCATCTGGGGAGCACAGAGATCACATCACAGGAATACAGATACATATGTATTTCCCCATGACACAAATCAGTCAAATCCAATCACCAATAGCACTTGAAGTCTTTCCATTTACTCATCTCAGATCTTTCCGTAACAAAATACCATAGACGTGGGTGGCTTAAGCAACAGAAATTTACTTCTTACAGTTCTGGAGGCTGGGAAGTCCAAGATCAAGTTGCCGGCTGATTTGATTCCTGGTGAAGGCCCTCTCTCTAGTTTGCAGATGATGTCTTCTTGCTGTGCCCTCACATGGCAGAGACACAGGGAGGGGGGAGGGGAGGGGAGGGAAGGTCATCATCTCTCTCCTGTTTCTTCTTATAAAGGCACTAATCCCATTAATGAAGGCTCTATCCTCATGACCTGATTAACCCCCCCCCCCGCAAAGACCCCACCTCCAAATACTGTCACAATGGAGATTAGAGTTTCAACATATGAATTTGGGAAGGATACAAACATTCACTCCATGGCAATGGAGATTTGAATAAAACTACAAGTGAATATCCAGAGAAATCTTGGATGTTAGGAAATGTCATTTCTGACAGTTGAATGAATTATGGGTAGACATACCTAGGCACCGTCCCCAGGTGAGAGAATAGAGTGTGCTTCCCTGAAATCTGGATACAATTCACCAACAGGCAGAAACTAAGAAACTAATAAAACTAATATGATTCCACCTTTCAGAGCTGTTTTTCACTTGGAATTTCAGTTTGGGTGATTGCACTCTAGTAAATTAGCTGACTGAGAGCCCAAAGATTATATCTGCATCCAGACAGTTCATTCATCATGCTTAGCATTTAAATTTCAGTACAGCTTTCCCACATTTTGCCAAAATGCCACTGAAGTAATCACAGAAAGCTCCCTGTTTTGAGCTACCTAATGCCTTCAATATTGTCACTGGCTCTATATTTAGGATTATAAGAATATTTTAATAACACACCAATCTCTTTATCTGATAGTTTCATATAACCACTTTCTTAAATACTTATTGATTTTAATTTTGCACCAAAATAGGAATGGACTTCAGTAGTTCATTGTGTACTTATCCAAGAAAGCAATGCAAAGGGGCAGGAGAAATTATCAAAGTATAATCCTGTAAAAGTGATAAAACCTTTAAATATTATCAAATATTTAGCAAGTTGTATGGTCAATATAAAGTTTAAATTATATGTGCAACCCACATCTTTATTCTCTCAATATCATTTTTGCAAATTTGCAAGTTATTCAGTCAGGTTATCCAGTTTTGGAAAAGCATAATTTAGATTTTAATTAGTAAAACTACCAAAATGTAGTAACCAGGATTCCAAAAACAAAAACAAAAAATCCAATTGCAAAAAAAACCAAAATGCAGACTTGCATGATTGAAAGGTGAATAAAATTTCGGTGCCAAAACTGCACAGCTAGTTGGCTGGGAGTATAGGTGGGAACATGGGATGCAAACCCATTCCAATGCCATCTGTGGTTTGGCAGCACCTGGTGGCCTAGTCAGCTTTACCACCTGGTTCCTAGATGTGCTGTGTCTGGCTGGGCAGGGATTCCAGAAATTCTAGGTAACCTATAATCTTTTAGTTTCATATATCCGGAAGTTTTGGGCCTGAATGAAATGGGTACAGGATCTACCTTCTGTCTCCCTGAGTTTGGACATAGGGCTGCCTGCTTTTTCTGTACAAATTTCTTCTTTTAAAAATATAACATTAAAATAATCAATGTAAATGTTTGTTTTTTTTTAAGTTGACTTTAACTTTGGATTTTTTTTTTCTTTCTATTCTTTGGGGGAATGCTTGGACGTAATGAATTGGTCTCAGAAGGTTTCTCCACGGATGGTTCTTTATCTCCACCTGTTATGGCCTCTACCTCCCTATCGGAAATTTTACCTTTCTTCACTGCATCAAGCATCCTCTCTCTGACTGATCAAAGTGCCACAGACATGATGTCCATTGACCAGACTGCACTAATCCCAGGGCTAACCATCCCCACCAATGATTATTCTGCCATCAGCCAGTCAGCTCTGGAAATTTCACATTTGTCTGCATCTTCAGAAGACAGCAGGTTGAGTACAAGCAGCCAAGACACAGTCAGGGACTTAGATGGAATGGATCTATCTACCATCCCCCCGTCCTCTGAGGTACCAGGAGTCAGTGGATATGTTTCCACCCCAGACCATTTCTTGGAGAATACCACTCCTGTCCAAGCTTTACAGTATATCACCACTAGCTCTATGACCATCGCCACCCAGGGCCATGAGCTGGTGGTGTTCTTCAGTCTGCGTGTTGCTAACATGCCCTTCTCCAACGACCTGTTCAACAAGAGTTCTCTGGAGTACCAAGCTCTGGAACAACGATTCACACAGCTGGTGAGTGGGAATTACTTACAATTAATTCTCTGTGTGTCTCTTCTTTTTTTATTATTACTTTATAATAAAATCACTGGCTTCCTTGAGCAATGCAGGTTGGAAGAGACAAGACTCTGAGATAGCTGTTGCTGAAGGCATTCAGCTAGAATGTTGAGATGGAGTCAGATCCAATAGGCAAGTAAGTTTTGTGGTGGACACAGGAGGCAAACACTGCTGACCAGCCTAATGAGAACAAACTTATCCTTATGATCTTTTCATGATAGTTCTTCCAAATTTAGTTTTCCCAGGAGTAATACAGAGTCCCCTGAGTGCTGAACTTGGGATTTAAAAGCAATATGAGCAGACTTTTCCTAAGTTATAATGCCGTAAACTGTTTCCCAGCCATCTAATGAAAGGACTCAGAGCTAGAAAGGTCTAGCACAGATGAGGCCAAAAGTTCAAGTGTAAACATATTTTTTCAGTTCCTCTTACATTTTTGTAAAACTGAAAATGCCTAAATGGCTTATTATCATTCCTGATCCTTAACAAAGAAAGTGAGGAGGTTATCATGATGGCTATGTCTTTGATGATAAAACACCCTCAAAACTCACATGTTTGTTTTATTTCTAAATGTACTATAAAAAAAATGCATATCCAATAAGGAATGCTGGACCATGTGATAACTCTACAGTCACGGCCAATTAAAATTAAGTACACAGTGCATACAAGTTCAAAGATTGCAGAATTTCTGAAAATAACAGGAAAAATATTTGTAAGCTTCATATAAGTCAAATCCTTATGCAAATTAAAACCACATAAAAACTAATACTTCAAGTGAACTTTAAAGGAAGACTGTGCAATCTAACACCCCCACCACCCACAATGAAGAGAATAGATATTTGAGACAATCTCAGGGAACAGAGTCCCAGTGCACCTAGCCCATGTGTGTAATTAGAGTACATGCTAAGCTGCCATAATGAAGAGATTAGAAATATAATAACTTAAATAAGATACAACTTTATTTGTCTGTCACTTAGTGAGTCGGCCAGATCTGCTCTACAGTGTCATTCAGGGATTCATATTCCTTCCATCTTATAACTCCGCCAACCCCAAGGGTGTTTCCTTATTCACACAGTCAAAGCTAGGTCACTGGTACATCCCTTTTTCAGTCTTAAGAAGGGGAAAGATAGAAAGCGCAGAGCAAGCAATTTCCTACGCAAGTGACACCAAAGTTGCCCTCATCTCTTACACTTACACTCAATTGCTGAGAAGTAGTCACATGGCCACACCTTGCTGCAAGGGATGCTGGGAAATGTGGTCTCTAGCTAGGCAGTCTGCTTCCTGTGAAAAAGAGAATGAATTTGGAAGAAGGGAGCAGCTAGTTGTCTGCACAGTGGGTAAAGACAGGGAATTTCCACCAGACTCCAAAGCAATGCTAAGACGCAAAGAATGAGCCCAAAGTAAGTGGGAGAAATCAGCAGAGAATAGATTGAAAAAAGTTCCACACTGTGTATAAAATTTCATCTTATTTTCACAATAATCTTGGGGGTGGGAGGCAGGGACCGAAACGTGGGTTAAGGGTCAGAGTCAAAATTCTGGAAGGGTGGGGACAGGGACAAAGGAAAAGCAGGCCTGGGCCAAGCCTGAGAGATTGCAGCTTGCATCTGTGTGCTCCCTAGGCTCGTCAGCTCATAAATGACGGGCTTACTTTCAGGGCCAGGAACAAGGCAGACATAGCTGATTTTTAAACATTTCTGAAAAGTGATCTCAAGGGTGGCAGTGGCTCAAAAGAGGCAGGTGTGGGAACCTGAAGCCTAATGCCAGGGGGCATACTTTTGACATTAAATTATAGTTTGGAAAAAGTCCTTAGGGAACTCCTTTTTCTTCTCCCTCACAGTTCAGATAAGGGCACTGAGGCACAACACAATGGTTAAGGAGCTCAGTGAAGGTCACACGGCTACTTAGGGACAGGTCCAGGACTGACTGCCAGTTCCCTGCTCTTTCCATGCCACTGCTTTTGTGTTGACTGTGAAACATCGCCTGCATGAGCAGACAAGTTGATGTTTAAGCTGTTGTTTATTTCAGTAGGTCATTTCAAATTAGTTACTTCCAAACAAATTTCCCATTTACACAGGCAGAGGTCTCAGTCTGCCCCTGGGATCACTTTGGAACATGTTTTTATTTACTTGGATTTAAAACAACAACAACAAAAAACTGAACCTGGCATTGCTGCTTTGCTGATAGCATTGGCCTGGGGTTTCTTTGATTGTTTGTTTGTTTTTTAAAGATTTTTTGGGGAATTGGGGGTTGGGGACAGACAAGTTGCTGTCCTTTTGTTCTTCAGTCTAGTTGTGGAGGACATTGCTTCACTGGCCCATGTTGACATTATCATTGCGTTCTTCCCTGGCAAGGCAGATCAGTCGACGGCTATTGGACAGCTGCTCACAGCAGCTCACAGCAGCTCACGCCGTCTGCCAGCCACTCACGCTGGCTGCCGGCCACTCACGGTAGTTCATGGCAGCCCACTGCAACAGTGGCTGCAGCCTACGCCATCGCCGGCAACTCTGGGCAGCCCAGCTCCAGGTTCACCATCTTAGCTGTAGAGGGTGCAATGTCACTGGCCCTCATGTGGGATCCGAACCAGGTCAATGCTGCACAGAGCTGGTGTCCTAAGCCAACTCTTAACCAACGTGCCAATCAGCCGGTCCTGGCCTGGGGTTTTTAAAACCTCTGTTCTCACAATTTATCATGAAGATAACTACTGCCCATCCATCTCAATACACAGATAGAAAGATGGAAATATGGGACATAATCACACAAATAGATCATTAAATAGTGGTGTTCTCATCTCACATTAAATCCAAATACATAAAAAAATAAATAAATGAACAGGAACTGAAATTTATGCCTCAGATAATGAAAAGTGAGTATAAATGGGATTAGCAGCAGCTGAATGCTTAGTACACAGTTAAAAGTAAACCATGTTGGGCCGGCCGGGTGGCGCGTTGGTTAAGAGCTGGCTTGGGACGCCAGAGGGCCCCAGTTCGGATCCCACATATGAGGGCCAGTGACACTGCCCTCCACAG